CGTTGGTGCCGACCCTCTACCCGTTGGTGCCGACCCTCTACCCGTTGGTGCCGACCCTCTACCCGTTGGTGCCGACCCTCTACCTGTTGGTGCCGACGCTCTACCTGTTGGTGCCGACGCTCTACCTGTTGGTGCCGACGCTCTACCTGTTGGTGCCGACGCTCTACCTGTTGGTGCCGACGCTCTACCTGTTGGTGCCGACCCTCTACCTGTTGGTGCCGACTCTTGTTGTCTTTTACTCTGATTCTTTTCTCTGTTCATAAATGTCAGGTTTTATAAAACAGTTCATGATTTGGACTCTTGTTACTGAAGCTAAAAGCAGAAATCTAAACTTTACTTTCAGTTACAATAAAAATATTTTTGATTAATTCAATACAGTAATCCAGATTAAATTAATAATCCAAAGGTTTAAATGACTAACTTGTTTTAAGTTTATAAGTTCAGGTAATAAATATAATAATAATGTATGAGTGGATATTTCAGCAGCTCTGAAGCAGGASCTGCTGAAGGTCCAGGTTCTTCACAGGACCGTCTCCAGGAGGACCAGGAGGTTCCTTCAGAGTGTTTTCAAAACCTGAACCTGGATCAAAGTGAACCATGTGTCAGGAGCTGAAGCCTCGCCACAGAAAGAAGAAAGTTGTGTCTATTTCTGATTTATGTTTTTATAAAACAGTCTGCTGTGGATGGAAAKAGGAAGTCCTCCTCAGTTTGATCTCAGCGAGCCTGAAGGAGGACATGTTCTGATCCAGCTCAGTCTTCTCCAGCATAGAACCTAAACCTCCTGGGAACCACTTTACCCACAATGCCTTGCTCTGTCCCTGCCCCGGTTCCCTTCCTCCCCCCGGGGGGCGCCACAGATGAAAGCAGAGCTGAAGGTTCAGGATCCAAACCTCAGAACCAGGCCTGATGTGGTTTTGGTTTCTGAAGGGAAGATGTTTGAGGACTTTAGAGTTCACATCTGGATCCTGGTGTCAAAGAAGAGARGGAGGGTTTGTGAGAGGAACCGGTCCACGAGCAGCACAGAACATGATCCAACTGTTAGGATTTTCAGGCATGAAAGAACCAAACTTCAAAAAGACAAAAATAAGGATTTATTAAACAAATAATGCTGACAGGGCAGCTCAGAAACTCACAGAGTGGTAAGACAAGGAACAAGTGGTCTTCACAGGCTGAAAACATCACAATGATCAAACATAAGGTCAACTAATGAGAGGAAACCAAAACAACACAGACCAAAACACCAACAGGACAGAAGCTCTACCAGCTCTGCAGGGATCCAGACCTCTGACCAGGTTAACTTATGAATCAGTTCCTTTAAAAACACAACCTGTTCTTTAATGTTTCAAAAAGGTCTGAGGGGTTTCCAGACCCTCAGAGGTCAAAGGTCACGGTGGTTTGGATGTGATCCTCAGCCAGCAGGGGGCAGATTCATCCTGCAGGACCAGATCACTCCTCCTGTCCTCTCTGTGGCTGAGCACCCCATCAGTCCCTGTGTGGACCACATTACCCACAAGTCCCTGGGGCTGTGGTCTGTGTGGGCAGAGGGTCTGAAGACCCCATCAGTCCCTGTGTGGACCACATTACCCACAAGTCCCTGGGGCTGTGGTCTGTGTGGGCAGAGGGTCTGAAGACCCCATCAGTCCCTGTGTGGACCACATTACCCACAAGTCCCCGGGGCTGTGGTCTGTGTGGGCAGAGGGTCTGAAGACCCCATCAGTCCCTGTGTGGACCACATTACCCACAAGTCCCCGGGGCTGTGGTCTGTGTGGGCAGAGGGTCTGAAGACCCCGTCACCGTCAAGGCTCTAATAGTTTAGGATTTTTCATTATAGTTTAGTTTAATTTCGTTGTGACTTTTTCTTTTAATTCAGTTCATTTTAATTAGTTTTTACAGTGGGTTTGATGGTTTTTATTAGTTGTTGCATTTTTAATGCTTAGTTTTAGTTTAGTTTTTATA